TTTTTTCAAATTGGTATAATAATCGATGTTCGAATACATGAAGTACGAAGATAAATAGTGGTACAAACCTACCCATGGAGGTAGTTATACACAATCTACCGTGAAGGTAGCTCAAAATATTAATATTAATCTACCCATGGAGGTAGTTTACAATATAAACAATCAACCCGTCGGGGTAGTTTAAAATATCAACAATCTACCGGTAGAGGTAGCTGAAAATATATACAATCTGTACAGAATAACGTACAGCTCCTAATTCGTTTGATTGCCTTAAAAGATCTCAGTTTGCCTTGAAAAGCTAACGCTGAAGCTAGGCAGTTGTACGGCAAAATAGCATTGTTCTACACAATCTACCGCTGTGACTAACTCACGAGCGTTCGTTGCAGATTTGAATATTTAATCAGGTTAGTGTTAGGTTTATAATTAGGGTTTGGGTTAGGATTAGAATGACGTAACCGCAACGAACGCCCGGGCGTTAGTCAACCCCACAATCTACAGCCACACTTGGCATAAGATCAACTTTCGTAATGGATGATGTTCATTGGTTGGCGATAGTGTCGGAAATGAAATTTAATCAATATTAGTTCCAGCTAAGCGTAAATTTTTTGGTGAGCACACTTAAAGATGCTGTAAAGTCCGTTCTGCGCATATATTCTGCGCATCAACACATTCCATCAGTGGGGGAGCAACCTTTGGAATGTTGTTAATATTTCGCACCTTCCGAACTTTCTTGAATTGAATCTCTAGTCTGCATTCATTTACAAGCATAGCAAACCGGAAGAGCGTTAAAAATTCAGTATAATCTATATCTAATCATATTTTACAACTGTAGCACTGAGTTCAAAATGTAAACAAAGCGTTTGTTTACATTACGGACTTTACATCACGTTTAACAATGAAAATGTTCTGTCTCGGTGGCCTTGAAAAATTGTACAATGTCAGCAATACTATCATCGGCTGCGTTGAATGTTGAAATTGTGCGTCCACCCAGAATATTTTTAAAATACAGGGTGTCCAAACAAAACCCAAAAGCATTGAAATAATGAATTGTTTGAATTTGATCGCCCTAGCACTAAGCTAAACCCACGAGTGCATGAAAGATTAACATAACTGTCATGATTAATGGTAATGAGAAGCATTTTCAAATTCCCATGAGCAAGAAAACGTGCACTTTACAAAGGAATACAGTATTTATTAATCGCCCTGTAAAAAATTTACGCATCCTTGCCTTCAGCTTAGTGCTAGGGCATTCAAATTCAAATAATGGGGGTATTTCAATGCTTTTGGGTTTTGTTTTTCTGGAACACCCTGTATTTTGTTCCAAAATTACGCAATCAAGACCTTGGCTGCGCATTACGAACTTTCCAGTCTCGACTCTGGAGTATGTTTAACACTCTGAAACATGCTTAAGCAGCACCTTCCTTGCGATAGTAACTCTTAGTTTATTTAAGTCATATATTCGTAGGTGAAGCCTATAACGTTGAATTGGAGAGGTCATGGAAGCCACACAGTATCAACACAGATTCGGTTTAACCGTACCGCGTTTTGCACAATTCCACAAGTGCTCAATGGCCCTACGCAGCCACGCACAATATTTAAATTTATACCGTGTACCATGCTAAACAGAAAGATCACAATTGTTACTTGATATATTTTAACTAAATATATTTTAATTTTTGTCAATATAATATAACGTTTGTGTTTTTATTATTGGTCACTTTATACCGTTGTTATTTCGTATTGGACCGACAGCTTTTTATCCACAGTACTGGCAGTTACTAAGTTAATCATATAGAGGGCAAAATTACTAAAATATGATTGGCTAATGAGGAGGGCATTTTTTCTTAATTCATCGCAAAATTACTTGGCTCTGATTGGCTAAAATGTCAGAATGTTTTTGTATTAATTTCGGGTTGGACATTGAATGGCTTCCTCACAGCTGTACTTGTCGTGTGTGAAATTGAATTAGATTCAAGCAATTTGGTCAATATTTAGGCAAATGTATTGAATAATGCTGTTGTTTATATAATTTGTATATCGTTTATTTCATTTTCAAGCGTTTTTAAGTGACATTAATGATGGTAATAGAACGAATAGGAGTGCTATTAATGCCATAATCATACGAGTGATTACAAAATGAACCGACCGCGTAGCGGGAGGTTGATTTGTTAATCACGAGTATGATTATGGCATTAATAGTACGACTTAATTCGTTCTATTACTTATTAATTATTTATCTTCTGTAATCAAACTGTTTAAGGGGGAAAAGCAGAAAAATACAATTTGTTGAAATTCAATATAATTTTTAAATTTTTGTCACGACAATTCTTAGTGAAATAGTACAATTTTGAATTATTATTTATCATATATAATCAAATTAACATATTATTAACTTCCGGGCATTATTTCCGGTATAACCACATGACAACATTTGTTTGAATTATTTAACACACAATTGGGAAGCCATGTTTGTATGTTTATAACGTGTTCAAAATAGTGAAGTTCTTTAGTTCAATTAATCATCTGAATTGGATTGTGTCTAGTTCGGTGTCTTCTGCTGGATGAACAGGTAGGTCATTTTCGTCAGAAAATATATAATTTAACAACCCTCGAAAACGAGATCGGCATTCGGCAATGCCGACCTTCAGTATTAAAATGCCGACCTATCAACCTCCCATGTCGGCAATGTTTTGCCGACCTTAATTCAGCCAAAGTAAGAATCTTTTTGGTTCTTATAGTTGTTAAAAAGTCAGCGATTATAGAATTCGATGCAATTTGGTGTAAGGTTTAAGAATTAACGGGTATATTTATGATATAATTTAGGTAAAACTCTAAAAGAAAAGGCTTCGTGACATTTATACTTTTCAATGATTCGTAAATACGTGATTACTAGTGCAGGCTACTAGTGCTCCAAGACATGGAAACAGATTTTTAAAAATGCCGAGATGTACCGAGCTAGGTCAGGTTTAGGTCGGCATTTTTTTTCCGACCTCAATTTTGACGGTTTTCGAGGGCTGATTTAAAAATTAAAAGGTCAAAATTTGTGAATTCCTCCATTTTGAAATTTTTTACAGCAATAAAGAAAATAAAATTCAAAGTTTGTATCCTGAGTGCTGATTGGCTAGTGTAAATACTAGACTGATTTTCATTGGCTGTAGACAAGAGTGCGATTACAGCTCAGAAAAGGTGCGATTAATTCTCAAATCGCACTCCTGTAAACCAATGAAATTGCAGTATTTGCTACTGATTACAGAAGATAAATAATTAATGAAATAATTGCACTCCTCTTAACCAATCAGATTGCAGTAATTTTGTCATGTATATAATAAATATATTAAACAAATTTTATGGAAGGAAAACCTGACAGAATTCTTTCGTATAAACCCAGTGTAGTATTAAATATTTAGCGGTTTTATGCTGGCGCTTTAAAACCGCTCATCAGGGGTCGGTTGCATTTAAAACTCCGATCCAGATCAGATCTCTGAAAAAATATTTCCAAATTTATAGACAAGCCATTGCTGTCAGGAATTTTTCTGTGAATTTTAGCTTATGTATAAAAATTAAGCTAAATAAATAAATAAACCTATGGTTAAGCTAACCAAACTTTTAAAAACCGTCTCCAAGGTTAATGCTAACCCAGCTTTGAACGACTGGCCCCAGATAGCTGAAATTTAAATGCCACAGACTCAATCACTGTGAACAAATTCATAAGACCAGGTGAAACCACATGTCAATGTTTTAAGCCAGCTAATTATTAATGAGTATATATGATTAAAACTAAAAATCTAATATTTACCTTACACCATGATTGTGCAATTTTGGTGATTTGAACTATCAAATGAAACATATTTATACATAATGCCAGTTGTCCCTAAGGAGCCTGTTGTTTGGGTTAATGCTAACCCAGCTTTGAACGACTGGCCCCAGATGGCTAAAATTTAAATGCCACAGATCAATCACTGTGAACAAATTCGTCAACCCGGGTGAAACCACATGTCAATGGTTTAAGCCGGCTAATTATTAATGAGTATATATTATTAAAACTAAAAAATATGTACTATTTTCCTTATACCATGATTGTGCAATTTTGGTGATTTGAACTATCAAAATATGAAACATATTTATACATGATGCCAGTCGTCCCCATGGGGTCTGTTGTTTGGGTTATTGCTAACCCTGGGTTAATGCTAACCTAGCTTTGAACAACTGGCCCATGGCCAGATAGCTAAAATTTAAATGCCACAGACTCAATCACTGTGGACAAATTCATCAGAACAGGTGAAACCACATGTCAATGGTTTAAGCCGGCTAATTATTAACGAGTATATATTATTAAAACTAAATGTCTAATATCTAACACCATAATTGTACGATGGCCGAGAAGGGCCATGACTGTAAACACTCGCCGTTTTTTTTATCATTACACTCGTCGTTTTTTTCCCTTCAAAATTACACTCGCCGTTTTTTTCTTCAGAATTACACGCGACGTTTTTTTTCAGGGATGATGCAATAATTACACGCGACATTTTTTCAATGCAATATTACACGCGACGTTTTTTCCAAAAATTACACTCGCCGTTTTTTCAGAGTTACGTTTTAAACTGAGGGTTTCACTTCGGATGAAGATGGGAGCAATCATAAGGTTGGTGTGTTTCATCAAAACTAAAAATCATGTAAATACAGTACAAAATTTCACTTTTCAGTCTGTTAATTATTAATATAATTATAATGTATTGTTTTCTTTTGTGTTTTCCAAACTATATAAACAAAAGCTTTGTGTGTTTTGAAAATAATGCATTAATCATTGATTCATAACCGAATGAAAGTCAGTGAAATTTCATGGCCAGAAATCACGGACATGATTATTCTACTTCCTTACTAACTTTGCACATCCGATTAATACATAACCCGTTGAAATATCGCTTCGATAGTAAACAGTAAATTATATTACGCGATGCTTTAAATCGCAAAATCAGAGAATATTGGTAGTCGTTTGCAGTTTTGCCTCGATTGCTGGTTGCAGAACACGGTCTGTTGTCGTTGAAATACATCGTGTAGTGTTTGCCTGGTGTAAGTTACTGCCTATTCTGCATTTTCGTTTGTTTCTAGTGGCTATAGAAGTGCGATACCCTTATATATAAATAGACAAATTCCGTACAAACTAACCTCTGTATAAAAACTGAAAATGCAGAATGGTCACTAACTAAAACCAAGTGGCAACATTACGTTAAATACTTCGACGTACAGACTTTGATTTATAGCCAGCGACTGAGGCAAGTTGCAAACGACCTACCATATTCTCTGATTTTGGGATTTACAGCATCGCGTAATCAATAATTTATTAATTTACTGTTTACTGCAGAAGCCATATTTCAACGTGATATGCAAATTTGATTTCTGGCCATTTGTACTGTATTTACATGATTGTTAGTTTTGATGAAACACACTAACCTTATCGGGCTTATGATTGCTCCCATCTTCATCCGAAGTGAAACCCTCAGTTTAAAAGTAACTCTAATAAAACGGCGAGTGTAATTTTTGGAAAAAACGTCGCGTGTAATTATTGCATTGAAAAAAACGTCGCGTGTAATATTGCATTGAAAAAACGTCGCGTATAATATTGCATTGAAAAAACGTCGCATATAATCATTGCATCATTCCTGAAAAAAACGTCGCGTGTAATTCTGAAGAAAAAAACGGCGAGTGTAATTTTAAAGGAAAAAAAACGACGAGTGTAATGATAAAAAAAACGGCGAGTGTTTACAGTCATGGCCCTTCTCGGCCATCGTATAATTGTGCAATTTTGGTGATTTGAACTATCAAATGAAACATATTTATACCTGTACACGATTCCAGTCGTTCCAATGTTAAGGTTAATGAGAATTGCAGGGGTGGGTGCCAAATTCTTAGTTTGCTCATGCCTTGCCTAACTTAGAAACTAGGTATATATTGTTTATCATGTTTATCTGATATCAAAGTCAAAGGCTATTTGCCAGACATTGACTGACACAAGTTTTCCTTGTTCGTTCAATGTTCAATGTATAGTTAAGTTGTGTAGATATCTGTCTACTGTGCTAGATTACAGATTGAATCACATTTGAAGACAGATTTCCAAAATTGAATACATTTAACTGTCTCTTCAAATTTGATGTGCTCTACTCTACAATTATGTAGTTGAAGGGTCTTGTAGTCTAATGATGTAAATTACTGAGTAGAAATTTTATACATTTATTAGACTTAACCAGGATCAGTTGCAAAAAATGCGTCTGATACAGGTCCCTGGCAGCAATCGAACCTACTGCAAATTCCGGTAATGGCGGTACAACACTCTAACCAACTTAGCTACAGACACCAGTTGTCAAGCTCTAACCACAAGTTCATGTATATATACCTACTGCAAATTCTGGTAATGGCAGTACAACGCTCTAACCAACTGAGCTACAGACACCAGTTGTCAAGTTCTAACTCCACAAGTTCATGTATATATTAGGGTTCTGCCATGTGTTGGTTATGGGTAAATATCAAGATTTTAATTTGTTGGCATCTCACTTGATTGATAAATTTATACTGTAGTTGAAGAGTCTTGTAATTATGAATATAAATGTACCCAAATTCCCACTCAATGAATTCCATCTACAAGACCCTTTAACCACTATTTTACTTTTTGTAAGTGGTACATGAATATTCAAATGGCCATAATTCCACTAAAATAATTTCTTTTTTGCAGAGCAATGTCTACTCACAAGCTAAACCTTCCCTTTTCTGTTCCCGAGGAAATGATCAGCAAGGAAAAAGACAGTGGTATTACGTATGACTTACATTAAGACAAGAGCCAGTAAAGGTGTATAAGAACTCTTAGATGATGTATGAAGGCAGACAAGTCACAACATGTGATCAAAATGCATGTAGTACTCTTGGGGAGTGGCTTGTCTGTTGAAGGGCATAATATGTATTATACTGATAAAATCTGCAGTAAAGGTGAGGTTGGTTTTACAGAGAGTCAGAGACTAAAATAATAAATCACCTGAACTCAGTAACTACAGTAACAAACAAAATGTAATAAACTGCTACCTTAATTAATAAATGGCAGCATTTTTCAGACAAACACATTTTTTTCTGACATAAATAATAAATGAAGTCATTGAATTAAACTCCAATATTTCATCTATGGGCGCTTTCCATTCAATGACCTGACCGGTCAGACCTGAATACTTTTCTCAGTATCAAAGGAAAGATCTGGTCTATGTTTCTCAAATGTCTAGCGAAAATGGACTTCATTCTAATGTTATCACAATTTTCCGGTTAGATAGGTCCGAAGCCCAAATGTTTTGTGTTTCATTCAACAATTTGACCGTTCTGACCGGTTTGGCCATGTTAATGGAAAGGGCCATATATATATTTTTTTATTCAAACTTGTTTGGCATTGTTCAGTAAACAACGAAGAGAAATAAGATTGCAGTGCGGCTGCCAATTTTTCAATTTGTCCCTGCAAATGCAGTGCCAAAATTTCAAATTGGCGCTGCAAATGCAGTGCCAAATTTTCAATTTGTCACTGCAAATACAGTGCCAAATTTTCAACTTGGCGCTGCAAATGCAGTGCCAAATTTTCAACTTGGCGCTGCAAATGCAGTGCCAAATTTTCAAATTGCCAATTTGTCACTGCAAATGCAGTGCCAACTTGGAGTGAGAAATATAAATGCTTCGTAGTTGCGATATCGGGAAAAATATGTCCGTTTTGTCATCGTTTTTATTCGGGTTGCAAAATATAGTATTATATTAAAGATTTGTCAACAAGATAATTTCCCATTCCTGCTAAATATGCGTGATTTTACAATAAATGGCATTGCTATTCTCATTTGCTTTAAGATCATTCAATTTCATTAAAATTACCTAATTTCTTGCCATGCTGCAGTTCTTGATTTTGTTGGGTTTTGTTGCAAATATTGATAAAATGTAGGGAATCCTGCATGAATGAATAGACAGATTGCAAGAATCTCATTATATTCCAATTATTAGCAGCATATTGGTCAAATTTCGTGCAAAAACAGCAGATTTGCTTAGGTTTTGTCCGGAATTCAGTTAAATAGAATATTTCACTTTGTTAGAACTAGATGAAAGACGGGCTGATCTAGAACTGCTAAAGAACAGGTCTTCGTTTTAAACATGTTTTTATTATGACACAGTTTACTAATGAGTACAAAAAGGAAGAAAAAAACAGAAAACACATTAACTTGCATTTCAAAAACAGATTGTACTTATTTATGGCATATATTTTACTTATATTCGTATCCTTTAACTTACAAAAAGAAAGACTTTGTATCCACTTTAGTTGGATGAGCTTGAGTTAAAAAAGTTACCATATAATTAACGCTGATGTGCCATTGTCAGTTTATATTAAAAATAAACTTATTTCTACCTAGCTCAGTGATTTGACAGATATATATATATATATATGTTTCCAATGATGGAGGATCTATATAGATTAAACTATTTGCTAGTAAGGGAGCCACACAAGCAAATGTGGAAGATTATTATGACAGTTCCTACTAAGTTATATTTTCCAAAGGGTTGCAAATAGAAGTTTTCCTAACCACCTTTCAACACTAAGTCTTACTTTACTTTATATTCGCTTGTTAAACTCTTGTTGATCAACTGTTGAATGGGCACCACGAAATGGAGCCAGTATATTACGTGCCAGACCATATGCTGGATCACCTTATATAACATATGCTTCGCCATTGGGCATCTCGAATCATTGCAGTTGTTCTGCTAAGGGACCATTCATTAATTAAGGTCACGAGGTATTTTTGACCGAAAAAGGCGGGGGGCGGGGGGAATCTAATAAAAATATTGGTTCAGAAGGGGGGTCCAGTTATTTTATTATAGTGGGGGGAGATTTGAATTTAACGTTTATTGCTATCGCAGGGAGCAAGCAAGGCAGCAAATTTAATTAAAGCAGCTGGCAAAATTCTCAGTTTGATCAACAGATAGTCCCAAAATGCAATGCGCAAATACCAAATTTCTAAGGTTACCTTATAACGATTGCCATAAATATTTGTCATGTTTCCCTGGGGCCGGTTGTTCAAAGTTGGGTTAGCTAATTAATCCTGGGTTAACCTAAAATTCAAGGCAAACTTCCCGTCACAGCTTGTCTATAAATTTGGAAATATTTCTTCAGAGATCTTGTCTAGATTGATAGGAGTTTTCTTCTCTGAAGTTTTGAAATAAACAGACGTGCATAAATACATACAGTAAAACAGTTGGTTAAATTTTAACCCAGGATTAGCGCTAACCCACCTTTGAATAACGGCCCCAGATGTACATTTTAAATTAATAAAAAAGACAGATAACGAGTAAGCGATGTAGCAATTTGGCGTATACTATATATACCCTAGTATACAGCTATTTCAATTAAGGTTGTCCCCCAAGCAAAGCGGAAAAGTCGAATACGAGCGCGAAATGCTGCTGGGATTCGCTAATAAATGAATAAATTTATTAGTGATTCCTAGCAGGCTTTCGCGCTCGTATTCGACTTTTCCGCTTTGCTCGCGGGACAACCTTAATTGAAATAGCTGTATACTAGGTCTTTTACACATGGTTTAATTTAGTATGTACATGATGTGTGCTATAGTAGAAAATATAATTTGTAGTGCAGAAAATATACTGAAACTGGATTCTAAATTTTAAGTCAAAATTCTTCTGGCCAGTCTAAAGTTTGGATTAGCAGAATTTGTTCCGATTTAATTGCTGAAAGCACATGTAAATTTAGATCTGATGCATGGTCATGTGTCTATGTATACATCGGTGGTGGTGGTGGTGGTGGTGGGAGGGGTTATTTTTTAGAATTCATATGAAGGGAGTCTTTGAATTTTTTGTGATGCGGGGGAAGGACATTTTGTTTACTTGTTAATCGAATTTTGCCAGCCCGCCCCCGGTCATAAATAATGAATGGTCCCTAAGCCACTCACACCAAGCATAAATGTATCATGTCTCCTCCCCTATATGGGCCCGAGCAAATTTGCTATGAGGCCATTAGGAGCGTGGACCGACTGGAAAATAATTATGATGATACAATAATAATTATAATTATAATAAAAATGGTAGTAATAATAATAGTAATATAAAAATTGTAAAAAGCAATTTTTTTGCCGTGCAGTGCCACTACAAAACCTAGATGTTTTGTTACCCGGAACTTCAAGCAATAAATTATTTTGGGCCACACTATGTACATGATTTGCTGACGGCGCGTTGCACGAGCAATTGGCCTTTCGGTACCATCAATAAAGCCCCATCATTGGGTGAGAGGTACTCCTTTAGCAAGAACAGATTGTGAAAAAATCTCGGTGTTGATCCATACCAGGTCTAAGGAGCTGAGTAAATGCTTAAACGGCCATGAATGTCATCTGTACTATCTATAAAATTTAAATATTGTGGTTTTTATATTGAGTATGCATGTGTTAATACAAAGCACAAAGATGACACAGCCCAGCATTTAGTGGGTGAGATTCATCTCGTTAGCACATGAAAATATTAATGTTTTCTTAAACACCCATGAAGAGGAATAGAGACAAATGATAAGTTAGTACCGAGTTAAAAATAAGACTCAGAAAAATATTTGCCAGGTCACACCACGTGTTGGGGAAGGCCAGCCTCCGCAGCAGGATCATGAAGGCTTCCATTCCAGTTGCATTTGTTTGTTGACACAATGACATTGACAAAATTCTGACATTGTCATTTGACAAAATTCTGGTTTCAGAAAACGGCGTTATAGCATGTCTAAATTTACATTTTTTTTATAATTTAGTACAATAAATTAGTATAATAAATCTTTATTTTATATTAGCATAAACATAGCATTTCAACTCCAACTGTTTTAATTTAGTTAACTATCTCTGATCAAACGAATTCCTACTCCAAATCACCAACATTTAACCGAGTTATTCAAAAGTTAGCTAATCTTTAAAAAAACCAAACACAAGCTTCCTAAATTATCATTTCCCGCAATAAATTCATTTGCGATCGTTCTTAAATCAAACTTGTCTATCATATCTTGATGCACGTATATCATCATTAGGTGGTTGAGTCGATTATCTCCCGTGGTAAATCGGAGATAAGTTTGTAAGCGTTTTAAAGCTGAAAATATTCTTCTGCTAACTGTATTCGTGACTGGAGCAACTACTGCAAGTTTTGCCAAAATGATCACTTCAGACAACAGAAGCTTTTCACCTCGATCCAAATATCGACGAATCTTCAACGCGTCAGCAATATCGATTTTCCAACCTGGTAACCCGCATTTTGTGCAATTGACGGAAGAAGCTTGAGTTGGACTTGGAGACAAAATTCATTAAAATAACCTTTATACATTGCCACCATACGTTTTCTCCAGTTTGTCAGCATTGTCGATTCCGTTGAAGGACCTAGTAGATATTGATATTGAAGTCTTTCTGGTCAAATCGAGCCTTTTTTCTGTTAATCACATTCTCGGAAGCTTCATAGAAGATTTTTCTGTAGTGATCTTCAAGGATTTCAAAGAAATGGCCGGTCGATTCCTTTTCAAATGGTTGTGAGGCTCTCCGTTTTCTCGCCAGCACAGGGTCTGCTTGCTTTCTCTGGAAAACTCTGTTTTCTTCTCATTAGTGCTTGCCAAAACATTGCAAATCTCTCGTCATTTCGTCATGTATTTATGTTATTTGTTCTATTTTCTGTAGCGATTACCGCTTTATCGGCACATATCGCGATAGGATCCGGCAGAATTTCGTTTTCCTTCCTTTATATACGTCAATTTGTAGCAATGGATACACCTTTCGTTAGATTTTTTGCATAAAAGTTGCGAAACTTAGATCTTATAGCGATATTTGCTGACAAATCGGTTTTAAACCGCCGCCTAGTGCGTTCATACCATACAAATTTAAAATTATCAACTACAATCATTTAACGTACTAAAATGAAAATTTCACAACTTTTATGAAAAGAATCTAACGAAAGGTGTATCCTCTGCTACAAATTGACGTATATAAAGAAAAGAAAGGGGAAATCTACCGCGATATTTGCCGATAAAAATCGCTACAGAAAATAGAACAAATTACAGAAATACAAAACAAGTTACAAAAGCGGAAGTAGGAAGGTTCTGGTATTTTGACTGTAAATAGATACCGCTGCTAATCATCCCAGGCTCACTTGCAGATAACTGAGTTATCTGCTAGCAGATAACTGAATTTTCTGTAGGTTGCGTGATTGCGCGATTTAACTGTAAGCTCTTAGCCAATCAAATTCCTTTTACCAACTACAATGTATAATAATTCTCAATATTCGGTACTTATTACCTAGTGGATCAAACTTGCATAAAAAATATTGGACGCTGTCGTGCCGAAGCCCCGGCGGGGCCAACAACGCAAATCCAAAGGCTCACGAAAATGAAATAAATATACTTGTCTTGAAACATTAATAAACTTCATTTAATCGTTTTATACGTTTCTGATATGCCCCTAAATGTATATTCAAACACTCGTTAATAATTCGTATGCTAATTGGCAAATCAACCGTAATATATCACGTGCAGTGGCTTTAAACCTGATAAAACACTCCTAATTAGTATTCTTTATATAAGGAATACTATATATAGGCAGTATCAATTGTAGAATGCTAATAAAGCAATATATGAATGCTAATAAAGCAATATATCTATTGAATTTGTGGTCGTGTTTGAAGCCGTTAAATAAACTCGCAGGACGTGTTATGTACTGTTTAATAAACGAGCAGGAGTGTTTTATTAGGTTTAAAGCCACGAGCGCGCAGCGCGAGTGGCTTTAGACCTAATTAAACACGACCTGCGAATTTATTAAACGGCTTCAAACACGACTACAAATCGTTATACTGCCTTATTAGTATTCTTTATTTAAAAAATACTAATGAGGACACGACTACAATAGATACTGCCTTATTACTGTATTCTTTATATAAAGAATACTAATTAGGAGTGTTTTATCAGGTTTAAAACCACTGAACGTGACATATTATGGTTGACATGATATGCCAATAAGCTTATGAATTATTAATGAGTGTTTGAAATTAGGTCTAAAGCAGGGTCTAAAGCCACTCGAGCGCTTTAAACCAAACAAAATACTCCTGCTTGTTTATTAGACAGTACATAAAACAATTTTGATTGGACTCGGCTTTCGAATAACATCAAGAATCAGCTTCGCTTCGGCAGATAACATTGTGTGGGAAATATTTTCGCACGCAAATAAAGTTATTCTGTTCGTATATTTACTGTCAAAGTATTACAATGTAAAACCAAACCTAAACATGTCCTCCATGTGTATTTTCGTCCCATCGCTCATTGGGGACAGTGCACCACAAGTCACCCAAACCGGAAACTAAAATTAATAGATTTTCAACACTCTCCCCCTTTCTTAGCTGAAAGGCTAAGAAACATTTAACTGTTTAATTGTCCTTAGAGTCCGCAATATCACTTATTATCTGTCCGATCATTTGTAACGCCTTTGTTTTCGCCGCTCTCGATTTTCTTGGCTCAAATGCTTTCGCATTTGGATTCAATGCCTTCGATTGCTGTGATTTCGTTGTTGCACTTGCCAACTCCAACAGGTATAGATGTTGAAGTGGTCTTTCCTTTCTTCCATTACCAGTTTTAAGTATGGCACCTCGAACAACTCCGTCCTTTCCGGCAATCAATTTCTCAACTACTCCCATTTTCCACAGTCCTCTGCTCTCTTCTTCACCTTGTAGAAGCATAACATCGCCAACGTTTATCTCCGACTTCTTACCAGTCAATTGTCCATGACGGTCTCGCAACGCCCTTATGTATTATGACGACCATCGTTTCCACATTACATCCTTACACCGTTTTAGATATCTGGCCCGCTTAACCATTACCTTGACTTCGACTTGTTCGTCAGAATCTTTCTCATTCGCTCGAAAAAACCGCTCCACCATGGACTCCTTGCGAGATTAAACTGCCAATGGATTTCACGCCGAGCGAGGTAATCGTTAACGACTTGACTACGTTTGAGTTTTCGTAACCACTTTGCGATGACGACGAACGTTTTAGCGTTGTCACTAACAATCTTCGCTGGTCGACCTCTTCGTGCTACAATTTCCGCGAGACTTCCTTTTAACTCTTCCGCCGTCATATCTGGAAGGAGGTGAAGGTGGACAGCTCGAGATGTAGCACAGGTGAACAATGTCACGTTGCATTTCCCTTGAAATCCCTTCTTGATCTTGTATGAAATCGGTCCCGCGAAGTCTAGCCCTACTGTTTCAAATGCCCGACTGTGCGTAGTGCGGAATTCTGGTAACGGTGCTTGCGTTGGTGTTGGTAGAGGTCTTGCTCTGTACTTCACACATGTATTGCACTTGTGTACCGACTTGACCAGGGATCTTAGCTTCTCGATCCACCATTTCTGTCGAATTTAGGCCATCGTTAGCCTTACTCCTCCGTGGAGAGTACGTTCGTGGGCATCAGAAACCACGAGACTCGCGAAGCGATGAATTCTTGGAAGGTAGACTAGATGCTCCCCGATTATCCGTCCTTTGCACCTTAGTACTCCCTTTTCATCTGCTTCCAAATCCAGCTTAGACGCGATAGCTGAATGGTTTTCTTCTTTGGTCGCTTCTTCCTGAACGAATTTTATCCAGAAAGTTTCAGCATGATTAATCTCATTGGTAGTCAGAACGCCTTTCGTTTTCCCCCGCTTCGTTGTGTTAGACACGAATCTGAAAACCCATGCAACAATACGCAAAACCTTTCAGAGGTTCCATTTCACGAGAAGATCGTTCAAATTGTTCTCTTTCATAACAATTGTGTGTAATTTATCTACAGTTGCTCTATGTTTTTCGCTAACTTCCTTGGTTTTCTTTAGAGTTATATATATATCGGTTGGCCAGTTGTTCTCGTCAGCTAACCATGTCGGTCCTGCCCACCACGTAGAATTTCTCAGCTGTTGTATATTTGCGCCTCGGCTACCGATGTCTGCAGGATTTTGGGTGGTTGGCCATTGTCGCCAGATTGACTATTTCTGTTGTATTTTTGCAACTCGGTTGGACACGAACTGTTTCCATTCACCGTCTTTATTCTTAATCCAATAGAGAGCCACTGTGCTGTCCAGCTATCCGTAAGCACCAAAGATGTTGTACCCAGCTAAAGCTCTACTAACGTTATCGGTTAAATTTGCTACCATATGTCCTGCGATGAGTCCCAGTCTTGGAATGCTGACATTTGGCTTCGCTATTCTTGATTTGCAATTGGATGTAGCCAATCCCTGAGTTGTCTTCTCCCCCTGATGAACTACTGCATAAACTGCTGCACTGCACCCCTTCACGCTTGCATCTCCGAACCCATGTAAGTCTATCCCAGTTATCTCCTCCTTATGAGGGGTTATGCTTCTTGGAACGCTTACTTCTTCAGGAAGACCATCCCGCCATTTCTTCCATGATTCTGCTATCTCCTTTCCCAGAGGAATGTCCCACGAATGTTTCTCTTCGCACGTTTTCCGATAAATCTCCTTTGCATCCAACATCAACGGTGAGGTTACCCCTAGAGGGTCGTAGACTCTAGCTATTGACTGTAACATTCCACGCTTCGTACCCTCTCCGGTCTGCTTGCACCCACGAAAGTCATTTGCTAATGTGTCTTTCGCTTTGTCCCACTTCATCCCGAGAATCTTTGTTTCGGCTGGTTTTGTACCCAACTCCTCCTTTGCATATGTTTGATCTTCAACCGCTGGTTGCTGCTCCTCAAACCGAGAGTCACTTGAGTGCCACTTGTGCAATGGGAATCCTCCTTGGCTAAATAGTTCAACAGACTCTTTCTTGAACTTTTGCACTTGCTTGATAGATTCACCTCCAGAAATTACATTGTCCACATATGTGCTATTCGTAAGCTCCTCCACTGTGTCCGGATAATCTCTTTGGCAATTCTCAAGATGTCTATTAAGTGTTCCCCGAAGTAAGAATGGACTTGATACACTTCCGAATGGAACTCTCGTCTGTCGAAGTGTAACACGTTCCTTCGTCTCTAAATCTTTAATCCAGAAGAATCGCAGTACGTCTCGGTCTTCTGGGTCCACCCAGATCTGATGGAATGCTTGCTTAATGTCTGCTGTCAGTCCGATTGGTTTCAACCGATTTCTAACAAGCACATTGTAAAGTAATGGCTGTAGTGGGGGTCCCTTATGGAGGCATTCATTCAACGATGGTACATTTAAACTCACTTTCGCCGACGCATCAAAAACGATCCGAACTCTAGTGGTCTCAGCCGAATCTTTAATAACTGGTTTATGTGGCAGATAAAACTTTCTCTTCCTTGTAGGTTTCTCAGGAGCCGGTTTCTCAGGAGCCATGGTGAAGAGCTGTTTATAGTCGTCTTGAAATGTTCTGGTAAAATAGAGATGACTCAAGTCCTCCTCCCTTTGTTCCATGAGTGTCCACCAAAATGTAGTCTTTTCGGCAACCGGCTCGGTCATACTACCAATTCTACATTCACTAATCTTCATTCTCGCAATGTCCCCCGCTCTCTGGATCAAATGTATTGGGTGACTAGGTCGGTCGTCTTCATTGTCGAATTGGATTCCCTTCTGATGGGGGTGTGCTTCCTTTAACCCATGGATGCCGGGGTTGGTAAGGGTTGTCAAAACTGTCCGGTCTAACTCATTCACTTTGAAATCTAAACTCTGACTACCATCTGTGGACTTCTGTGTAACCTTGTAGCAAGGCACCTTTTGATTGACTGTGTCAGTCATTGTTTCAATGCTTTTGTTCTCCCACTTGGTTGGTCTAATTCCTAAGTACTTAATGACTGTTGATGAGACAAATGAACTGCCAGCACCTGTGTTAATCATTGCTCTGAATTTCTACCCACCTGATACAACAATAATGGTTGGGTGTATGGTTCCCTTGGTTGTACCAATCATGTAATGGGAAGAAAGCTCTTCTTTTACAGAACAAATAGATGTATGGTGCTTGCCACTACATTTCCTAGAATTTCTACTTTTGCAACTTGCCGCCCAATGTCCTTTGCCCGTACAATTGTAACAAAGTTTGTTCTTTCGTAGAATTTCTCTCCTCCGACTCACATCTTTCACTTTATAACAATCACTACATCTGTGGTTAGTAGAATTACGGTATACACACTTGGGTCCACTGTTCTCATTCCCTTGGAATTGTTTCTCCCCCCTTGGAGGTCTCCGTCCATTTTTATCGTCCCCAATGCTACCTGGATTTTCTGGATTTCTCAGAGTAAAATCTCGTAAAGCTGTCAATAGGTCATCAAACCCACACTCTTGCCATGTTCGGGTCAGATCTGCCTTTATGGGGCCCAACTTGTCTACAGTTTCTCTGACTAAGATCTCGGCAGTATCTAGATTTCCCAGAGTTCTCAATGAGTTCACACTCACATTCAACAATAGATAAAACTCATGAATTTGTTTTAAGTTAACTGATGTTATCACTGGTAAAATCAATTCATAACTTGCTTACCATGAGC